AATCTAGGTCATTAAAACCTAATAATGTCTCTCACTCTTTCTCTTCATATATAAACATATGTATATATGTATATATGTGCATATTACGTATGTGTCCTGTGTGTGTGTGTGCGTGTATATGAAATGTCTTTTTGGAAAATGAAAAATTTAAATTCCTTGAACTGCATAAAATAAGAAATTGGGTATACTTTCATTTTTCCTTGCATATAGGTCATTTTTTTGACTGACTTCTTACTTTGCTATCTCGGATTCAGATATATAGCAACTGAAATGACCAGCTATCGAAATGATGGCCAGTACAAATACGGAGAACTGTAGTATTAAGTGAATGTAGCTCATCTATCTACTTCCCTAGCAGCATTCACTAGAGAACCATACTCAGAAGAAATAAAGTAATGCATGATGACTAATAATCATGTCACTAGATGCTGTTGTGTTGTCATTGCTATAATTTGATTTTTAAATTAAGGCTGTTGGAAAGAGGAGTGATTTAAATGTATGTGACACAAATTCTATCCTCCATGGTTATAGTAATTTAAATTAACCACTGTAAACACACTGACATATGATTTTTACTTACAATCTCAATTTATGCAATAACTATTTAGCATGTGTTCTGTGCCCCGAGTGCCTTTCCTGTGCATGGGGATACATCTGGGAGAAAGACTGAGCCACTCTTATCGTCCTGGAACATTCAGTCTGCCATGGCGGCACTGTCCCCTGTACAATATTATTGTTCTACCCTCAGAGTTGCTGTTCTATGTTGAGTTTGTAGGAGATCTGTCTGAGCATATACATGCACATATTACTTAAGGAATAAACTAAAAAGTAGCATCTCGGTGCTTATGGATTTTAATGATCAGCCCCTGAGAAGATTCTTTTATTTCTAAGTGGTTATTAGAAGGCCCACTGGGGAAACTGAAATTCCTGGGTTCCTTTTGTTTCTTAATAGAGTCGGATCTGGAAGGCCTTGGTGAGCTAGGTACCGTTTACGGCAACATTGGCCAGCAGCTGAATGACACGATGAGGCGCCGCAGACACGCGGGAGAGAACGATTACAACATCGAGGTGCTGCTGGGGGTGGATGACTCTGTGGTCCGTTTCCATGGCAAAGAGCACGTCCAGAACTACCTCCTCACCCTGATGAACATTGTGAGTAGTGACTCCTTTTTGAGGCTTTTCGATCTTTCAATTCACTTTTCTTGTTTTGTTAGCATCCTTTGGAAACCTATGTGAGATCTTCCATGACCGCGCCCCAAGTCCAAAATGTGGATCCAAGTGCATTACACTGAAACATAGGTCTACTGTATTTAAAATGCAAGAATGCTGAAATAAAGGAGGCACGAAGCGAAAGTTTCTTGGGGTTGATTAACACGTTTTCCATTGTCCTCAAGGGAAAATCATAAATTTAAAAAGCCAGGATGGTATCGAATTATAACATGAATTGTGAATTTCATTTTGTTCTGGGGATGATCAAAACTCTCAGGACTTTGGTCACTTGCCTCGACTCGGACTGTGAAAGATGAAATAGTTCTGCCAGCATCACTCTGTGTCTCAGGATGACATAGAATGATTCATGCTTGATAACTGTGTGGATTCTTGTTAACAGCTTTGTAACAATGTGATATTTTCGCATTATAATACTGATGGTAATATAGTCACAAAGCACACAACTATTAGCATATTTCTGCACAGCAATCACGGAAGGGCTCCTTAAATTTGTCCTTCATTTCTCCTTCATGAGCTTTAATCAGATGCAGAAGAAATTTGTCAACATCCTCCAACTGCTGTTCTTTTTCTTTTCCTTTGACTTGGCAGAGATCAATGGAGGAGAAAATAATAATATAAACCATTTACTTCTAAAAGGTAATCAAGATATTGGTGTACTCTATTTTACCTTGTGCCAGTATAGTATGCATATTATAATCGATCTCACAAATTTACTACCAAAGCATATTCTTTCTCATCTTTCTCTTTCTCTACACCCCTACTCTTAATTTTTAATTTAACTTCTGATTTTTAATTTAACTTCTTTGAGTACCTATGTTGTTTACCTTTTTCCCCCCATGCTTACGATTAGATTTCAAATAATTATACTGGAGAAGAAAAATTCTTAAATTCATGAATCCTGATTTTATTTATGCTAATATTTAAGTCGATCTGTTAAATATATTTTGTTTATTGAGATGTCAACTTGTAAAATTACACATATACCATATGTCTGTGAAATAGAAAATGAGTATAGAAATTAAAACGTGGCCAGGCATGGTGGCTCACACCTGTAATTTTAGCACTGTGGGAGGCTGAGATAGGAGGATTGCTTGAAGCCAGGAGTTCAACACTAGCCTGGGCAACAAAGAGAGACCATGTCTCCACAAAAAATTTAAAAATTAGGTAGATGTGGTAGTGTGTACCTATAGTCCCAGCTACTTGGGAGGCTGAGGCAAGAGGATCCCTTGAGCCCAGGAGTTTAAGGCTGCAGTGAGCTATGATAGTGCTTCTACACTCCAGCCTGGGTGCAGAGCACAACCCTGTCTCAAGAACAAAAACAAACAAACAAAAAAAATCCAAACACTTTTTTTTGTTCATTGGCACTAATTCCTATTAGGAAGAACAAACAACACACAGAAAACAATTTACTAACCTTGGGAATAGATGTGTATAGAGAATCATCATTAATGAATCACATGAACGTTTTCAACTCCTGACTATTAACTTTTGTGCAACTTGCTAGCTGTGTAACCTTGGCATGCTACTTAGACTGTATGTGCCTGCTTCAATCCCCAGATCTGGATAATGAGAAAATAATGAGTAAGTAAAAGTCATGCATTCTGTACAGTGCCATATATACATGCATAAATAGACAATCACAATTTAATTTTCCATGTCGAATTTTACTTCCTAAGTTATTTAAGATTTAAAAATTTCTGTGGAGATGCCGTCCTCACTTACATCATTCAGTGTGTCCCTGGGCTGCTTTTCCTACCTCTGGGCAGGCAGTCAGTCAATCAGTATAGACTTTTCAGGCCCCAAACTGTTGCTCGGAACTCTGAAAGGCTCTTGGAGTAACGTAACAGAGATTTGATACGGTCCTTGTCCTCACAGGACTTATGAGTTGAAGACAAAAGGTAACACATGGGAAAATTAGAAGAAAGAAAAGTTAAGCAATAAAAGGCATGCTATTACCACAACTTATACTGTAGGCACTATAACGTAAGTGCTATTACCACTTTAGAAAACGGAGATTTGACCCTAGCTATCCAATCATGAAGTGATGAGAGTATTAAATTGGGATTTAGGAGGGTGAGACTTTAGTTCTAGCTCTATGACCTTAGACAAAATATACCTCTTGCTGGGATTTAGTTTCCATGTTTATAAATGGAAAGATTCAACAAGATGTTCGTTAGTTCTATAATTCATCAAGAAGCTGAGAGTGGAACTGTGTCTTTAGGGATTTGTTTTTCTGTTGTTGTTTTTTGTTTTGCCTTGTTTATGTTTTTTAAAGAGTACATGAAACTGTAAAGCATTTCTGGGTAGAATCTATTGACAGGAAAGTAGGAATAGATATATTCACGAGATAGTA